AATTTAGTACATGAAAATTACGATACTGGTTTATTATCCATAAATTGAGAGATTTTAAAATGAACGGTGACAGTAAAAGTACAAGTAAATTTATGCTGATCGGTAAAAATATATTGCCGATCTGACAGAAGGATAATACATTTGCAAAATAAATTATTTTCCAGGAGACAAAGGAAATCATTTTTGTTTAATTGAATTTATAATTAATTGATGAAAAGATTATTCGATGATATTGGGAATAAAGTAAATGTTAGTATAGTTTAGTTATGAAAAATAAAATCAATATTTTGAAAAATGTTATGCGTCGATATACGATTGTACGGACGAGTCTCAACATTATGCATGCACATTTGTTAATGAATCTTGAAGTTAGAATGACATTTTAATTTTCGAATATACCATTGTTTTAAAAATTAATCACATTAGTACCTTTGCATTTGGAAATGTTTAAGAGAACGCTTTAACAATGCATGCGATGCAATTAGAAATTAACTGGGAGTGCCCGAGCGTCTAGGATATTCAATAATACGATATATCAACACACGTGATTGGCAATTGCGGTTGCTTCAAACACCTGTGTAAGATAGACCGACCACGATATACGTGGATTAATACGTTGCGAGGATAGATACGTGGAAAATTACTTGGAACATTCTCGAGCACCAAGAAACCGCTAAATGTACTCGATGTCATTAAGAACAGAGTTTCGAATATCGCTAAATCGGAATAGGATATTTCCTGAATATCTAGACATCGCTCGATTATTTCAAGAAAAGGCAAGCAAATGTTGATCTTTCAAATATATGATTTCCTTAAAAACCTTGCGAGCCATCTTTTGAAATGTCATAAAAGTAGATTGAAAATATAGAACGAATTCTTAGTATATAAAGCTCTATTTCTGAGGAAGTCACGAATTTTTAAATCTAACTTTTATGGTATTCGGTTTCGGGTTTGACAGAGAGGGCTTAAAGGAATTTTAAATCCAATATTCTTTTATTTTCATCTTGCCTCCCGCTTTAAAACACGTTTCTATTTTTCTCATATTTTACTACTTGATATCCCTGATTTATTATGTTTTATGTTTTTTTTACACCTTCTAATCCAAATAAAGATCGAGAGGAGACGTGTTACTAGATTTCGTTAGATACTGTCGATTACCATACACTTGTAGAAAGTTTGGAAATGCAAAATTGCACAGACTGTAGGTACATGATATGAAAAAAATGTATAAAATATCAAAAATATAGTGTTTTTTACGATACTTGGTAGGTGAAACGATTTTCTATTTAAGTTCTATCTTCTTAATTATATTTTCAAAAACATGAATTTGCAGGAAGATCCGCGATCTATGTGCTACGTGCAATTCTAAAGACATCAAACACTTTATCGATTGTGTAAAAGAAGGGATATATCTGAATTAATCATCTCCGAATTTCCTTAGATAGCGTTTCTTTCGTTTGAAATGATCGAACATGACTTTGTCAAGCCGCCCGATTCGAGAACGATACGCAAGGCTTAAGGGGTTAAAGCTTCGGTCAATCACCGATGTTTTTTTTCCGGTCACGTATCGCGACACTTTTTCAAGCGGATTTTATGAAATACTTTCGTTCGGTCCTGTAAACAAAGCATAATGTGCCAGATAAACGCAAACAAGTATTGCATATTATTCGGAGACACGGTAATTTTGTTAGGAATGATAAATAGTAATACGCGATAACATTTAATACATTTAAACAATAATTTCATCTAAACTGAGTGGATACTATCTCGTCTTATTTCTTTCTTCCAACATTTTTTTTTCCTTGCCATTTGTGTTGCTGTCAACAAGAATACGTGTTGGGAAGAGTAAATTGAGCTAGCCATTTTGATGGAATGATACGCCTTTGTGCAGCTATGCAAAAGTCAAAGGAAGCAATTGATATTGTAGCAAAAGAGAGGAATATTTGTTGAACACCGCAGATTGTAGAAGCGTGCAGAAAAGAATAAAGCGAATTGAGTGTCGAAGTTTAGGTAATTCTCCGGGAACTTTTTGACAAATAGTTGTTATTGAAAAATAGATTGGTTAGGACAGGGGTCCTTAAACTATGGATCGCGATCCCGTGAAGGGGTCGTGTAACAGAATTATGAGGCTGTCAAAATTTTTGCGATTTCCACGCACCAGTCAAATAAAAAATGCCGATCATCTGTCATTAAAGGATCCTTTCATCAAGTTATTAATCGTCATAGGGATGAAACACCAGCTTTTTAAAAAAGTTGCTTCAATGGATTTTTCAACGGAATTTCCAACAATTCCTAAAATGATCTTAAAAGTACTTATGACACTTTGTACTGCATGCCTATCGTAAAAACATCTTCACAATTGACGATTGTAAAATCAAAATATCAGTCAACTCTGAAAAACGTTGAAGATGTTCTATTGTATCAAATATTCACCCAAGATTTAATTCTTTATGCAAGAACAAATAAGCACGTTTGCCTCGTTGGTATGTAAATTTAGTTTTATCCTAATAAGTGGCGATAAGTGATACAATTATAAATATAATAAAGAATTGTTTAAAATTAAACTCCTTTGATTTATCATGAATTAATGTTTTATTTGTATATTTATTTTATGTATCTTTTTACGTATATAACCAAGTTCGCGTAAAATTTTCTGAACAAAATAGGATCGCGAATTAAAAAGGTTTAAGAAGCTTTGGCTTAAGACAGTCGGCAATTTGAAATTTTGCGGATGACCTTCAAAGGTGGTATTTAATATTTGGTGGAAATGGACGACTTGTTGTAGAAAAGAAAATGATTCAGTGAATTAGCGAATAATGGTGTTCGATGAAACAATATCAATACTATTAATTATTGGTACTAATATTGTTGCTGAAGGAATTAGTACGTTATTAAAAAATTGTAATAAAATCACGTAAAAATCTGTAACATGTACGGTGCAAAATATAAATTGAGAAATTAAATAAAATATTACATTTTGCAAGTCTTTATCATTAAAATTACTAAAAATCACAATTATTAATATTTATTTTCTTTTTCCAAAAAGTAATAACACGTGGTCTATTTTACTACCGAAATCGAGACTGATTTCCTTTCTTAACGTTCCATTTTATTTAATTATATAGCAATGTAACATAAAAATTACATTAGTCAACCATTAATAATTCTTTATGCTGCTCAATATTTCACCCATAAATGTATAAACATTACTTTTAAAAAATTCCATCTACAAGTGAAATGTATGAAGTTTCCTAAACAATTTTCTTTCGTATTGCAGCACTGAACACTAACTACCTATCTTCTCTGTGTCGCTGGTTATTAATGTTTACGCCAGGATGGTCGAAATTGTCGGCAGAGTAGGAAGAAGAGGAAGGGAGTAAGAGGGATGCGTATTATTTGAATTCAGTTCGACCAGATTATTCGGTTTGATTAATCAACAACGCACAACGATGGTGTGTCTCAAAAGATAGCCGGGCCGAGGAGTTATGCACACAGGGACAGCAATGAGTTATTGCTGTCGCGTTACTGTGGCCTGTTGTCCTATTGTTTCTATTATTACATACGTCAAACGCGCGAATGAATTATGCACGCTGCTGAACGTAGAAGTTGATTCGCGCGGCTAACGATGTTCCGTGTTTGTACATTACTGATCAAAGTTTCGATTGTTCGCATTTCGTGTTCTCCGTTGAGGAACGAAGGAGTTTTAAGGACTTGACGAAAATTGGTAGGATGGAGAAGAAGCTGTAGAATATGGCGAGATTCGAAACGAAGGAAACCTTTAAGTATGATTTATACTTGTACATTGATGACAAGAGATTCGATTGTGCGCACTTACTGTTGAAAAACGGGGGAATGTTAAGGAATTAACGAAGAGTAAAAATACGGTCGAAAGAAATTGTCGGAAATAGTGAAATTCGAAAAAAAGGAAATCTTTAAATCAATTATTTGTACTTGTATGTTAACAATTAATTTTATTCGCGTCTCGCATAGTTTGCGAACGAAAATTTCGTTTCAATGAATATTTTTCATTATCAAACTTAACAATGTTTATTCCAAGAGAAATACCTGTAAAGCTACCGTTTTCCAAAGTATTGAGATTTTTAGAATAGTTGGATGCATTTTGAATTTTTCCGATATTAATATTAAGATAATTGATATACATATACGTATATTTAAACATTCCTTCATGGTTTCTTTTGAATTTCATCTTCCACAATTATCTTTCAATTTTCTACTACTGTCCATTGATTCTCTCTTTCACTAATTGGAACTTCTTCTTTTCATCTTTTGAAAATAAAATATCTTAAAAATGTTTTTCAACTATTTTATATATCGCAATCTCTATACACGAAAGATATAAGTCAAGTACATGTACTTTAGATTTGAATATGAACTTAATTTATAGCCTGCAAGTACAAATATAGTTGGTGCTAGTGAAAAATGTAAAAAAGAAAAGAAGGAAAAAAGAAAGAAAGAAATTAAAATCAAAAGAATCAAATTAAATGGAGCACGAGAATTACTCGATTGTTTCCTAACGTGTAGATTGTGGGCTCTATAAAAGAGAGAAAAAATGAGAAAATTGTTCGATTCACTTATCAAATCGATCAGATTCTGTAAATTCTGCTGAAGAAATGATATCGATTGTTCAAAATCGGCACAATGTTTGTTGAATCTACAGTTGTTTTCACCAAAGAAAACGAGAATGATTAGTGTACGTGTGTGTATTGATTCGTGGTTAAATTTAGAATGAAATTAAGGCACGGTTAAATTGGGGACATTTCGACTGTAGAAATTAGAAACTATCAGGTATTGTTACGTAAATGAGAGAACAATTTCTTACAATTGAATATTTTAATGAAATATAAACAATGTTAATTACTTGAATTTTTAATAGTTGATTTTTATAGTTGATTATTCAAAAGTCCATAGTCAATTATCAAATAAAGTCCTTATTTTCAATATGTACATAAAATATTTATTTTGTACACTTAGCCTATATATTTACATACGTAGAAAATGCTAGGAATAATAAAACTAGAGAAGAAACTTCTTTTAACTTGCATATTCATGACCAATTTTACGCAGTCTTTCATAAATCGAAAACAGAAAGCTTTTCGCACTTCTTCTTTGAATACATGCCAAGAGTCAACAGGGAAAAGGGGGAATGCGAATTTTGCCGAATTTTGAGTTTAACATTTTTTCGTATGCTGTTGTATGTACTCTTTACCACTGGGTGTGTCGCATTAATTTGCATTAAAATTTTCTGAATAATATTATGAATTATAAGAAATTAGGGGGTACTGCGTATTTTTCATTTTTCACAGTTTAACGTGTCATATATTGTTTAAAATTATAAGCGAAAGTTGAAGATGATGCAGAGGATTATAATGTTTTATTTCTATATAATGTCTATGAATATATGTATATTATACATATATATATTTATATGTATATAACATCCATGAAAATATGAAGTTGTGACTATTATATATTGAAAAATGAATTTTCCTTTTCTAAGGAATACTAGAACTTGACATTTCCCCTTTTGCCTATGGACTCTTCACATGTACATATATGTATGTATAGTTCTATATACATTTTATTATAAAATCCACGTTTTATATTTGCAATTTTTAAATCGTAAAAAGTCAAATTTCGATACAATTTGGAATTTTTATTATTCACAATTACAAGTAACGGCAGTGTCAACGTGGCACCGCTAGAAAATTATGATACTTCTAAATACTACTAAAACTAATCGAAAATTATTCTTATCGGAATATTATACTTCGATAGATGCATAATTTATAGATGTTTCACGATAATTTTCAATGTTTCGGATTCGTGTTAAATGCACATAAAAGAATGTTATACTGTTTATAAAACAAGCACGAAGCTTTAATATGCCCCTCGTGGCGATCAGACGTGGCAAAAGTTTTCACCGTTGGTACATGCACAAGCATCGCAAACTCATAACGCGTCTGCGCGTAATAAGTCGATGCAATTTGTACGTTCTTTATTGGACGCATTTGTATTTGCTTAATTATATTGTTACGCCGCCGGCTATTACTTCGACGCGGCCGAGTTAATGGGACGATAATACACTTTTCGTAACCTGCTCCGCCGCCATTCAGTCTGCGCCTGAAACATGCATACGCGAATTTCTCTGAACAGAAGTATCTCTTTTGAAACGATAGCAGCTGGATTAATGAATTTTTAGGTAGCTCGAGATAATTTTAATTTTCTCCTTTCTACGAAGCAAGTTAACGAGTCTTCTACAATCTTTTTGGCATGGTATCGCTTTTATTTAATCCTTTCGAGTTGAATTATTTAGCGATTTTAGTTTCAGTACTTTCGATTACGAAATTCGCATGGGTAATTTTAGTTATCGCTTTTCTTCGCTAGAGTTTATTAATTTTGGCAGAAGTTTCGTATAATGTAACATATTATATTCCTTTTTAAATCTTCCGAAGAAATTACCAACCGGAATAGAAATTTTTCAAAGTACTATTATTGTTTCCTTTCAGACAATTGTTATCCAGGAATTAACTTTTGAAATTTGAAAGATTAAGTAAGGACAGGTAAGCGAGGGTTAAATTCACGCTTTCGTTACGTTTGACAGCGATCGAGTTTTTACAAATAGAATGAAATTTTCATCTCAAGAAGTTGTATCATTCAATAGAATTTTATAACATTATTTTATTAATGCAATGGTTTTTTTGGTAATTTGATTTTATCTAACAGTGGAGGAGCTTCTCTGCGAAGACTTACAGGGTAGAAATTGATGTTTCGAGATTTTATTTCTTTTGCTGAAAGTAAATTTAGAATGTGAAGAATAAACAAGAAAAGACTAATGCTGCTTGTCAATATTCCGTGCAACTCAATTATATTTCTTCGAAACATTTTTCCAACTTCCCCCAACTCCTTTAACGTCTACGCTCTACATTGACTACCTTGTTAGCTTTTAGTTTACATCTTGTTATTTCAATTTATTTATAGATTTAACTAATGCAAAGATATTAAGGACAATCCTAAATTCAATAAACTCTTTAACGTTTTCTCTGTTTTTCAAGTTTTACGTTTCTCATTACTCACTTTGTTAATTCGAATTATATCTCATTCCAGTTTCGTAACAAATTCAATTAATGCAAAATTACAAATTGCTGCCTATATTTTAGTTTCTATATTTTACACCGATCGTTTTATTTATATTTCATTTGCATCTTACTAATCCAGCTTTTCTATAAATTTAATTAACAAGATAAAGTATGTTCTTTCACGTAACTAGAAAAGCGAAACCTAAATGAAGATTCATTACACTCTTTAAATACTATAACAGGAAGTTTATTGCGGATATTCATTCTATACGCTTTTGCATATTTAAATTTAGATTCCCTATAAATGCATAATAGAGCCTGCAGAAAAATTTCAATTGATAAAAGTTATTAAAACGCAAAAAAAAATATTTTTAAGGTATATCACTTATACAATACAGAAATTGAATATCCTCCTCAACATATTTTCTGTTTCCCTTTTTAAAAATAAAATAAGGCCACAATTCACAATTCACAACAATTGTTGACTTTCGCTTGTGTTAAATCGGAAACAGAAAAACAGGAAAAAGAAATTGGCAGATAGAATAAGATATGTACTATCTATAGATACTATATATCTCATGTACAACAAAAAATTCAACTTTAATACAACTCTAATACGTTCTCTTTAAATCTTCAATCACAGTCATAAATAGAAACTCCAGCGAATGTTCATGTCTTTAAAATACATTTTTCCCTGTACAATTTCTGTCTGATGAAACGCAACTGTAAACGTTAAATCCCGTCTCGTCGTCGTCGCGATCGTCGTTCTCGTTGTTGTCTGGCGTGGACAGAAAAGTTTTCAGACACTTTTAACGCCCGTCGGCGTGATATACTTTAAGTTCGCGCGATGTATATCTGAAACCGCGCGAATTTCCGCGAGTTCGTCCTAATTAACAAGATGAAAATCGCATTTCGTCCCTTTTGGTCGCAGCTGGGCTACGGGCAGCTTTTAATCGTTTTAATCTAATTTTGAAAAGCACAGGCTCGTTCGTACGGCTAGCGTATTATCGCGCCGTGAGATCTTGCTTTTTCCAACCTTCTACAACCCCTGCACGGTGGCCGACGTTCGTTTCTTGCGACGAATTCCGTTGAACGCGCGACCTGCCGAGCTTGAATAGCAAAGTTAAGTTGTCACGCGACCGCTGAATGAACATCATACGTCTTATCTGCGTGATATATTCTGTCTATTAGCGTGGCCATCGTATTGTTAAAAATGTGATGAAAGGATAGCTGACGTAATTGCAAGGAGAATCCCATTGTACGACGCTCGAGAAGTTAAATGAAAAAGGAGATTCGCGAGGAACATCCTAAGAGCTCTTTTGATAGTTGTATTAATTCCTTGAATTAGCTGGTATCTTACAGTAGTTGTATAAATAGCGGCTGATAAAGGAAACTTTATAGAATTAGTAGTAGTAGTAGAAGTAGAAGTAGAAGTAGTAGTAGTAGTAGTAGTAGTAGTAGTAGTAGTAGTAGTAGTAGTAGTAGTAGTAGTAGACTGTTTGTGATAGTTGTATTATATATATATAAAACTATATATTATATTGACCTATTTGACGTACAAATTTTGTCGGGTTTTAGAATCATCGGTTATGTTATGACGATAGCAAATGAAAAATAACTTACTGTATAGATCTCGATGATAAAATATGACATAAAAAAGATGAAAAATTCTAGGAGGTTCGTTAAAACCTAGAAACGTTCTATGTATTTTAAGAATGACTTATCATAGTTCAGCTAGAAAATTCTTTTTTAAAACATAGCAAAGAATTTCTTTACAAAGCCGATTCGGAAACTTTCCTCTAAAGAATTTTGAAAAATTTCTATTTCCTCTAATCTGTTGGATCTATTTTTAATAATTGTATGTATAACAAGATATTGCTTTTGTCTATAGTCGGACTATTTATAATTTTTGTACATTCTGAGGTGTGATCAGAAGCTTTTCTGCGTTCGTTCGATTTTGTGTTTCCTCGAGAAGTCTCGTAACACGTTCAATCGTTTAAGGGAAAGACAGATCGTAAAGGAAATTCGTGGGGCCACGAAAGTTCGAGATATAGGTTGAAAGGCGAGTTTGATTCTATTTTTGCGTCGGTCAATTGGTTTCGGGTATGTGGTTGTTAGCGCTTCTCTGGCTACACTTGAAAGTCACAGTGGTGCGATATTCTTTGTAAAGTTCGAAGTTTAGCGACCGTACGAGACGTTTGTAAAACACGTAAAATAGAATTTTATGAGCCAACTGGGTTTAATAATTACTCGCCCGGTCGGAATAAGAGTGGGTACATTTTTTTGAAATTTTACTTGACTTTTCAACACGGTCCGTGCCCAGCGGTAAGTAAGCGTTTTGGCAGAGCTTTAAACTGGAAGAGTAGGAAAATTACGTTGGCAAATTTAATCGGAGGAAAATTCCACTTGTACTGAATTTTTTGACAGTTTCGTCTTTATTCGTATCCATTTTATTTGAACAATTTTTGCAAAGAATATCTCTATTTGTTCGATGGAAGTTTCAGTTTCGCTGACTATCATATATAACCAACTGATGACCCAGAGAACTTGTGAATCTTTTAGTAGCGAATTGTTCATAAAGCGAAGAAAAGAATAGAATTTGATGTTTCACTGCTGCTTTACTCAAATATGCCATCATTTTACTAAATTATTTTGCTGGTATATAACCTAAAGACACTATATTGCACGTGATATTTAATATCAATCGTTAGCATTAAATAAATTTGTCTTTCTGTTACATCTATACGCATAAGGATGTAAGTACTTTTTCCCAAGTATCCTGCCTGTTGCTTGCTTAATTAATATTATGCCTTAAACTCGTTTTATATCTACCTTTTGCATATACTTTTTATAGTTACCTTTTTATTTTTATATTCTTGTAATATTACAGTAAATTTATTTATCATAACATGGTAATACTTATACCATTATATGGAATCAATAATAGTACTTGTCTGATAGCAAAATATTCAAACGTCAAAAGAGAACATTGAATGTAAATTATAGGAATTAAATGCTAATTAAACGATATATGTTCTATTCAACCTGCAGCTATACGTTATTAAGTCGATAGGTGATTTCACACGTTCCAGTCGCGGCGTGAATGAATATCAAACTACTTTGAAGTAATGAAATGGTGAATCTTTCATTTAATTAACAATGTCTACGTACATGAAGAATAGATAGCAGGAATCCCATCCTATTTTTTGAATTGTTAATGACTCTTTTAGATAGATTCAAATTTCGTAAGAAAATTATATAAAAAATTTCACATCAAAAGTATCTAAGTAATCTAAACGATTAATTCATACTCTTTTATGAAGTTGCGAGATTTTCACGATTTTCTAATGGTTACATGCACTCTCTTCTTAAAATATTAATAAGCGTATAATAAGCGTAGAGCATCCCTCTATTACATATCCCGTTCGACTCATATATTTAATATTAATTAGAAAATTCCAATAGCAACTTTTTATCTCGTAAATTAAACAAGAAGAACAGAAGATAAAAAAGATAAGGAAAAAATGGAATAAAAGTGTGTTAAGAGTAAAATGCGAAATTTAGATCAAATTTTAATTCTTTCAGATAATATCCGCGAATATTTATAAAATTTTTCAGATTATAAATTATTTTTGAATAAAACAGATTGTATCGTATCAATAGCAGAAGAAAGAAGTATTTTGAGATTAAGTGAGTAGCCGTTAAAATAAACTACACATATTTAATTATTTGACAATGAAAGAAACAAAAGACCTCGAATTATAAAGTTATAATTTACAATCATTCGAAACCTAAGAAACTTTTATCTCGAATATAATTTTAATTGTTTAGCTTTTATATACATAAACGAATATTCCGTAGAATTCAGTAAAACACAGCTCATTAAAAATGTGATATTTCATATGATGCAACTAATACAAGGTATATTATATGTTTTCGCATTTACGTTTCTTTGTGACATACGTTTTCCTTTGCACAAACTGGACAAAATGCGTACTAACGTATTAAATATTATTATTTCGTATCGCAGTGTCTACAAAAAGTATTGGCACACATTGTTATCTCCCATTCTTTTCCTCAGCTGCTACATTTCATTTTCACGGCATCAAATTTTTGTATTCATATGAAATTGCGATTGAATTATACGAAATTTAATACACTTGAATCTAATTAATTAGTTCGTAAATGTTATGATAAATACAATAGTGTGCGAATATTTTTCGTAACTATTATATTCGACAAATCGTATTTTGTTTGTAAGCAAAACACGATTTGCCTTGTTTCATGTCTTATTCTGCAACAGGCGGATTTTTAAACGTCTTACCTCAGGTTTCAACAGTTTGTTGATACAGTTTATTCTGCTGCTCAGAATCTCCAACTCCAGGCGTTCCTTGCAGAGCTGTCGAAATACAGAGGGCTTAAGTCGCGTAACTCTAAAGAGGGGAGAAATTTATTCGAGTGTAGAACAACCTACCATTTTCTTCGTCTTCTCCTGGAACACATCGGTCTGCTGCAACTGGAAATCAGAAAGCAATTTACCATTTACCGTAAACGTATTGTTGTCCGCGTGCCGACCAACACTTCGAAGCTATACGAAGGCAAAACAACGAAATGCACTTTCGGCATGATGCACCGACCCGAAACAAACTTACGTGCTTATGAATGCAATTGTAGATCGGTCTGATGTCCGCCATGCTTTTCTTCCGCGGAATTTTCTGTAAATTAAACACGATTATATGTATATAGATTGGGTGTCCCATTTTAATCAATTCACGCAACTATCTGCTGAATTATACGTTGTTCTAAAAAGCATCTTAAATAAAGCATACTCGATAAATTTACCATTATTAATTATACAAATAAAGCTCTTGTTTCGAGGGAAGCATCTTATGATCCTCGCAAATCTTATCTATTTGGACGTTCTTTCGAAATTTCGATATATCCTTTGTGTTTTTTAAATAGAACTATACATTTTTTTGTACACCACTCGATGCAGTTTGTAATTCTTTAGAAGAAGGTACAAGGTAATTGGGTGGAAATGTGTTTAGTTCAAAAGATATTTTAAATTTAATCTTGTAAAACTTATCGTATGAAAGACAAGAAAAGATAACGCAAAGCTTTTGCGTTTATGTTTTCCTTGTTTCTTTTTCTCAGTTTGATGAAATTAACATTGAAACATCTTTTAAACTACGCATTTTCAGATAAAAGTACTTTGATACTTCTTTACAGAGGACTAAAAACTAAATCGAGACACGTATAAAAAATTCTATAGTTTCATTTAAGGAAACAGAAGTTATGCTGAGATCTCGACAAATGCCACCCATATAGACAAATCTGGTGTTTATCACAAGACGGCCCCGTTTTATTTGGAACATTTTTTCGAAAAATGAAACGCCCAATATAGTGACACTTCGTTTCAAAATGAATTCAACATGTTGTTATTCGCCGTACCTTGTCCGCTTCTTTTTGTAATTCCAGGAAGACTTTTTGATTCGAGACGATCGCTTTTGCACCCTGGGATCGATACATGAAAATGAATAACTTGGTGTCTTTAAATATGTAGAATATTATTAGATCTATCGGAAGACTGGCGTATTTTCGTAACATATATAAATCACGCAAAAGTTAAACATCAAATTAATTTCGTCAAGACGAAATCATTCGTCGTCTAAACATTCTATTTTCAGATTTTTATATTATAATTTGAAAATTTGTAAAAGATAAAGTTGTTCTACAATTTGTAAAGTTCTATTTTTGCAGCAACCATAGATATGTAATCTCTCAGGTTACATGATATTTCATTTATCGAATGTCATTCTGTTATCGTCTCTCTGATCTATATAAAGATTATTGCTTGATATTTTAATTAAAATAATCAAGTCAGGATATCATCTTCTTAGTTTCCTATTTTAGGAATTGACGATTACAATAATTGAGTTATTTATTGTTGTCGTGTAATATTACAATATATAACACGATAAGATTTAAGAAGACATTAAAGCTACAGAATAATATAAAGTAAAATTTTTAATCTTCGTTTAATAATATAGGGATACGTTTATAATAATGAGATCATTAACGAAATTATTGAACAGAAATTCATCTCTTAAAAGTTTAAGTTGGAATGCTGCTTAAAGAAATGAAGAATATTTCGAATCTCAATATGAAAGTGTGCTAAATAAAGTCGAACATGCTCGACGTGCTTACAACTTCGTGCTTGATCAAATTAACCTTTCTCGCCGTTCAACGCCGATAAAAACTTTCGATCTTTCCGCTAATCAGAACACCGCAGAGAAAGAATGAGAAAGAAAGGAAGAAAGGGAGAGAGAGAGAGAGAGAGAGAGAGAGAGAGAAAGAGGAAGAAAAGAGGAAACGATGCAAACGAACACTCGTAATTGCGAGACATCTTGTCGACGATACTACGATACTTTCTCGACTGTTATCGATCTGTCTGCCTTCCGTTCATCCAGACGAATTAACCGACCACGATTTAACAGAACAATTGTAATGCAACGAGGCGTTAAATCACGAGCTAACCTGCAAGATACGTTGTCATAAAATACAATCTTAATCCATTTACAGCTTTTGGCTCTTTTCATTTTTAACAATGTTAACTCGACAACACGGTTAATTTGTCAGATAGTTACAAAATAGTTTTGTAAATATATCTTCAGGCAGTTAGACTTAAAAGTTTAATAATATGATAAATATAAAAATGAGAAAAGTTAAGATTCATAAATAATATCGTATATTTTTATATGTTCATCTTAGATACATTTTTGCGGAACACTTGCTCTTATACATCACGTTACGTTATTAAGGCCACTAACGACTCAGGTTCGTGTATAACTTTCACGCGGAGAATGTATAAAATATGTAAATATATACATTTTATGTTTTACATTTGTTATGTTACGTTTGTAGAAAAAATTCAATAACTTGGAACGGTTGAAAAGTTAAAAGATTAATATCATACAAAATTTGGAGGTCTATAAATAAATAAATATACTTGTATAATTTTATAGTAGTTAATACTGACAGTTAAACTCATATGACGCCTAGTGTGGCGTCGCCGGTCGTTATAATATTAACACGTCGAGTGCCACGGTCATCGGCGACTGACATTATACTTGTTAGTAACGTCATGTAGATTAATCTCGGAATTAATTAAAGAGCTTAAGCTAAAGAAACATATTCGTAAAATTTGTAATACTTTCAAATATTACCATAACAATATTGTGAGGTGCGACACAGAAAGCACTGGACTGCACTTATAGCTCGGGGATGAAGCGTGGCAGGGGAAAGATAAAGGAACGACTATCAAAGATGTTTTGTGTAGCGACAGTGTTGCAAAGATTAGCTCGATCGTTACACTCACAATCGATACAAATGGATGCGTCTTCAATTATTGTGTTTTCCGCTCGGTCGAAAAATGTTGGACAGGAAAAGCGAACAGCAGATAAATATTAAGTTTTTTTGCTAAGCTGGAAAAATTTTCAACGACATCTTTTCAATTATTGACCAAGCCTTACGATAAAGATTGTATGTCTCGAGTTCGTGCCTTTGAACCACTTCATCAAATTAACCCAGTTTTTGTCGTTAGAAAGTGCGAAAGCGAAAGCAACGGAAGGGATTTTCAACGGAATTGTCTCGAACTGAATTGTCTTGAACGCTGGGACAATCATATGTGGTTGTCTCAACTCGAAAGGGAACTACTTCGAAGATGATCCTAGTTAATCTTCTGAATTTGTTTAATAAAAATAGTTACAGGCGCAGTCTTGTTTCTTTTGTGCACACGTCGTATAGTACAATATAACAATGCGTTACATTATTATTAATATAACGATCTAATAATGTATTACCATACAACAATGTAACATTATCCTGCTGAAATAACTGACAGTATTCCAATGTTGTGGCTGGTAATCAACGTATTAAATTTTTTGTCCGATTGTCTCGCGAAAAGAACCGTTGTCATAAAAATGAGCAAAAATCCGACTCACCACAAGTGAACAGACAATGACGATGAACATCATGAGCAAGGTAACGAACGTAACGATCCCGCATTGCGGACCCAAATTAAACATGAGCCTCAGCTTAGTATCCGCCAGCAGATACTGGTATAACTGAAACCAAAAAGAATCATTTTCATTTGAAACGGGGTTATCTCTCTCGTATTTTATGTCACTCCACTTTCTTATTCGCCAATGCGACTTTCGACAAAAAAGATACGCATAAATGTCTACGGACCAGCCATTGAGGACCAGAATTATAGGATCTGTAGTATTTGTGGAATCTTGCGACTTCCATGGCGATTTCGAGTTTTGATACCGCGAAGCCGATAATTCTTCGCGATTGTCACGAGCATCACGTGAATTTGGACGGTCCACGCGAGTCGAAAAAACTGACAGTTTCGGCGAATCGTTTGACAGAAAATGGTCGATGCGTTTCCCTTGCCCCACCCTATTGCTCTTCCCCTCTTCCATATATAAGTATGTGTATTTACATGTATGTCTGTTCAATTTTGTACGAGGGGTATGTGTTCGAAAGTAATACACGAGCGGACATAAGGTGAATTATGTAAAAGTACGAAGAAAATATAGAATAGAATTTTGTCATACGATGTTTCGTTTTTTTGAGAAACTCGAGTATAAAAATGTATCGTGTATACTTGAACATGGTTAATTTCGTACACTAAACGGGAGTAAATAATTGACAAGAGGTGATTCTACGTGTGAAAATAAGTCAAAAATATAGAATGAAGTTTGTTCATAAGACGCTTTATTTCCAAAAAAATAAATTTCGAAATTTCTCGTAGGCCTGCCAATTTCTAAATAGACATGTTCAAACTCCATTTTTCTTGAAAATGAAGCATTGAACGGAAAAACTGAATTGCACATTTTCGCCTCATTTTCGCGCATATTGAATAACCTCCTATCGTTTGTTTATTGTTACTAATTGTCGGATCATATCCACTCGGTAATTTGCCAAGTTCAAGTATACTCGACGAATTTTCAAACTCGATTTCCTTTAGAACAGAGCATCATATGAGAAAACTCTATTCTACATTTCCTTCTTACCTTTTTATCGACAATTATCTCGTGTACATAACTTTCGGACGCAGCCTATATGTATCTATACATCTATGTGCAGTGATCGATTGCGAGCAACGATAGAAGTAAACATCGTCGATACAAATTGATACGGCATGTTTAAACAGCGTCGCTCACAATAATGATAATTCGGCCACGGGTACATGCGAACAACCGTATACCATCGTAACGACATTATTTTTTTCAGCGATCGGTGGCTTCCATCGGTAAAACGAACGGCTCAATAAATTCTATCTGTTCCCTCTGCCATTTTCCATCTGCTTTCAACTTTTAGCCTTCGATATTTGCACGAACAATGGAAGCGTGGTAGATTCAGCCGCGTGCTCCTTTGCAATAATCGCGAGACGTTTATTTAATTTTTCGTTCGTACTGTTTGCGGTTCGATCGCGACCCTCGTAAAATGAAGAAGTTAGAAATGATGGTCTCGTTGGTTTTTATCGTTAGCCGGGTCCCAGGGAATTCGCTGGATTTAGTAATGAGTTTGATCGTGTTTGCTCTTTCTTGTTGTTCCTTCTAATGGATTTAAGAGGTTTCAGAATATTCCGCATGAAAATAGGCAATTCTTCGGACTAGTATCTCGTTTAGTGGAAGGCGTAAGAATACTGTTCCGGTTTTCTTCATATCGAATGACATTGAACGGTATTTTGAAGTTTTATTAAATTCGCGTCGAAATGTGTCGATTTGATCAATGACGTTTGTTAGATATTACTTTTTTAAATATAATGTCAGTACCTTTCTCAATATAAAATGGAAGGCAAAACAAAATCCTTAGTAACCTTTTACATTATGGTTACAAAATGTAATATAATAATACAATAATAATAATTCGACTAACGCCTTTTATACGAATATTTTGCATAACAAGTTTGCTCAGACAGTGTGGAAAATTCTACAAATGAACTTTACAAAATACGGGAAAAATTATAAAATAGTAAAGTGTTTGTATAAGAAGTAGCTACAACTTGTCACTTGATGATTCACTAATATTACTATACATATATATATATATATATATATAATATACGTATAACATAATAATAATATAAAATAATATGCACACACACACACACATAGAATATATTTATTTTATTATCCGTACATTGTAGCTTTTCGATACAATCAACTGTCTTAAACTTAAATTGATCTTACACCATAAATGTAAGACTTACGATGTATAGCCTGTAAAATAGATAGGTACTTTGCGGTAGCTATACTAATATCCTTAGATTGTAAAAAGAGTCGTTGAGAAGCAACATTGACTAACTCCATAAATTGAAAAATATAGAAAAGTACTGATATTCTATAAATAATTTTCTAGTTCTTTTTGGAATTTACTGTCATTTACACCACGTTGAGATAAATAAACTTACAAACATAAGTGATAGGTGTTTCTTCTACGCTGAATATTAATTGCGTAACTGGATAACAAAAATGAAAAATTTACTAAACGTACAATTAATCAACTTGATTTCTGAGATATTCAATTATCGTGCAAGGGGACTCTTGTCGAAAAAACGAAATCAAAAAATCCAATGACGATCACGGTGGGACGAGCTGTTTGTCTCTTTCTTTCGAATCAGTTTCATAGGAATTGCGCTCGTGGTTACAGAATGTCGTATTAACCTGACGACGACGCGACGTTGGAAATAGAATTTCATGACTATTTGTTGGCGTCGTCCGGACGTCCGAATGATAGAGTCAGGATATCGGGCCGCGCCTCGAAATACACCGCATCCGTGTAAAAGACGTCTCTGTAAATTGTGGCGTAAATTGAAAATGTTTCGAAAGGTGGAGGAATGGCGTAGCGCTCGTGCGAGCTTTTCAACCAGAAACATTTCAACGGTGCAGTTACCTCCTCGAAATTTCCGTGAGCCGTGCTCGCAGAGCTGTGCCCCGACACTGAATTTCACCTTTTGTCTAGTCTCGTTCCATCTTGTATCTTATCGCAAGATCGAAACACGTTGAATAAAAGGATACACATAGCAAGCAGGAGATAAAACGTAAAAGATCTGTATTTGTTGTAATAGCGTTAAAAATAGTTTGCACGTACATCTGCTGCACTGTGAAATTTTATAATTGTCATTGTAGTTTGTAAAGTTTCTTCCTCGGAATTTCCGTAAGCTTGAAAAGCTGCGTTTCGACACTGAATTTTGCCTTTTGTCCAGTCCTGTTCCGTTTTCTATCTTATTGCAAGATCGGAATATACCGAATGAAAGGGTATAGTAAATAGAGCAAAGGTTCATGTTGGATGTAATAACTGTAGTAGGAAATTAGATTTAACTGATTGTGAATGTACTGTCGAATGGATGTATATAAGATGTGTAGGATGTTTAACGTTTCGTTGGATTTGTCAACAATATGTATATGTACGCAATTATTTACGCTTGAAGTTATCTATTTAGATTTCTAATGAACAATATGTATATGTACGCAATTATTTACGCTTGAAGTTATCTATTTAGATTTTAGCATTTAGAAGGTTAGCAAAGTTGTGTCAAATTAGCAATTTCACGTTAAATTTTATTGAATTATTTCTTCAAACTAAACAGTAAGTTATTAAATCAAATTCATCTACGAGAGGGGAATTTTTAAGAAGAGGAAGTAAAGGGCAAAGCACGAGAAAGGGGGACGCAAGTGCAACAGAACCAGGAGAACGACTCGACTATCCGAATAGCGTTATGGTTCTTTTTCTTCTGCATATTTTATGAACCGTTGGAATATTATTAAACTTATATTACGCATTATATCAGAAAACGTTGATATGTGCGGATGGAGATGTAATAAATACTTGCTTAAATTAAATTCATTTTAATTCATTTTAATCATGCGGAATTAATCCGCGATATCGAACAAAATCATGAAAATATGGTATTGCAGCTATACGTTCGAGGTTAACACATGTACCTGAAGAAAGTTTTGACAAATGAACGGTGTTCAATATTTTCGCGACACACGAAACTGTTAGCTCACCGGAAACAGGGTTTCACGGTTGTTCGTGATCGAAATGGCGATGTCGGAAGTCCGGCTCACCGGTCGAAATTCAGAATTCGATAGGCCATAAATAAAAGACTGTCGGGTTCAGCGTGGGAACATAAAAATCAATAAGATTTGTACATTTTCCTTTTCTCATGATCGTCGATCCCGATTTCAACAATTGAGGATTTGTTGGTCTAGATAAAAGTTCGCTACCGGTTTTGAAAAAAATATCTTCCACATAGAAAATTTGTGTGAAAATAGGAGGATCGCGTGTTACGGATGTGTAAATCAAAACGTTTGTACGAAAATGTCCCTGGAAGATAGTTTTATTCGCTCTCTTCATTTTTACTCTACACACAATGTAACTATAGATTATTTAGTATTGACTGATGAAACTTGCATATGAATTACGAAAATACCGAATATTTCGAGAATTCCTATTTATAAAATTTAAACGCACAAATAAATATATATATATATATTTATACCTATGATATATTAGATAAAGTTTCATGTTTAAATAATACTGATTATTTAAATTATCTCCTTGTGTTATTCATATATGTGTGTTAAAACGAATCTCTCCAAACCTACATAAGTGTTTCATTTAATTTCATGGACTTTATGATCAGAACCTTCTTTTTGTACTGTAATAAGTGGAACACTGCAACAAGAGCATTTTTAATCCATATAGACACTTCGTTTAATTCTTCATGAACACGAAATACACCTACGATTTTATGATCAAAACCTCGATTCTTGTCTTTCTGTGTATTGCAATAAGTGGAACATTGCAGCAGGAGTAATTTAAAGTACGCGAATGTACGAGTCTCTATACGTTGCTTTATTACTGAAGGGAGTTGCAAACATTACTTATGATAACCTCGTAATATATAGCATGCTCCAGCTGTGCAGCGAATAAACCACACGCAATATAGTTCTTTTTTTTCATTTAGACTGCAAACACATCTCATGTGTACTCCTTAATTGCGGTTGTTAACTAATTCCTTTAAAAATATGCTGAAGGCACGAAGATTATTGTTAATCGCGGCTTCTGTATAACGAGGATATCTTTCGTTTCTTTCTCGAAACATGGTTATTGTACAGTACGTTCAACGGAAAGCGAAAGAAAAGAATATATTTTTGACATAATATCTATTTTGCATTACTAATTTCAAAAATTACAAAAGATTATAATTAATGAATTACAGTTAGAGACTCTACAAATAAATCTGTGCAAAAATTTTTGGGAAGAAATCATTTTCTTAGGAAAGTTACATAAAAAGAACGATTTCGTTAAGTCATTTTATTTATGTCTCAAAATACGGCATAACATACTAAGTATCAACTTATTAATGGTTTTGAAGAAATCATTTTTTAATATAATTTTCGTAAAGTGATTTCTTCAAAAAATTTTTCGCACAGATTTATAGGTGTCAAGACACGGTATAACTTTTATTTTAACTATTTTTTTTATATATTTTATCGTTTACGATTTATAAGCACTTACATAAAAGTGTCGGCTGATTTCTCCATTAAAGTAAAAAACGAACATGAGAGAATTAAGGTTAATTTCTTAGGTAGGTAATGAACATCTGTTCAAAACTTCATGAAAATCGGCGTGTATCAGCTACTGGGGTTCTCTCGTTGGTACTCCATCGTCAAGAATTTCCTTAAAATCTTTTTAATTTTATAACGACGCCAAGCTCATATACAAATTACACTCATATATGCCATTATATATCGCATAGTCATTTGTTAACATATATACACATCCAGGATAAGTAGACGTTTTCTATAACATGAAATCATTTATATATGCACATTTCTTACAGCATAACCAACTATACAACATATGTAAACAAATTTCTATACGCAGATTTTTTTCACCTGTTAAAATAACACTTTGCACTTCCAACGACGAAAGAATTAAAATACAACTCTGTTTAACGTAAAATCACGATCCAATGTAACATCCAAATCGCAAATTATAAACGTCGACACAACGATTTACGGTTGCTGGAATGTTCGCACTTGCCGAAAGAACTTACATTTGACGAGGAGAAGGATGTTGGGGAGGGGTAAGAGGTATGCGGGCCAATGGTTTTTTGCGACGAGCGGGAAACGAGATTTCGCGGTCGCTCGGCGTCGAGATGGCAATGCCAGAAGCGTCGAGCGTCCGTCAAAATTCAGAATATTCACGTCGCCGTCGTGTAGGGCCCTTCTGGCGCATACCGCG